AGGCGCCCTGGGAGCCGGTCCAGGCTCGGGTGAGCGCAGCGCTGGGGGAGGGTCTGCAGCGCGGCTTTGCAGGCGCGGGGGGGCCCGGGCGACCAGGGGGGTCGCCCCGGGACTCTGCGTTCCCAGCTTCTAGCGCCCCCAGAGAGCCGCCCTCCGGGGGCCTCAGACAGTAATTGCACACCCCCTGCTGCATTTTTGTTGGAACCGGGCAGTTTGACCTCAGAATTATTTTTGAGAAAAATGTGTAGAAGCATCTTTGATGGTCATGTGCACAGACGTTCCTGGGAGGGCGGCCTGGGCCCCGACCCAGCGCTCTGTCGCCCCCTGTGGAGCGGAGGCTCAGCGCTGAGGCTCAGCGTGGGCTCTGCGTGTGTTTATGGGGGACACTCACCTGCCTGAGGAGCCCCGGAGGCCAGGTTGCTTGTGAAGCACGAAGCACTGGGCTTGGGACGTCCCAGCACCGCAGCTGTTCCTTACTAGGCCAGAGTAGCATTTTCCCCTGTGCCTGGTGTTTTGATTTTAAAGATTCCCGTTGTGCAGTGTCCCTCCTGTTTTGTGAAAATGCAATAGGATGTACCCCGATTTTCTATAGCATCTGCTATTTCACAGCTGTGCAGGGAGCCAGTAGGCAGGAGCAGGCTGTGTGCACGGGCTGTGTATGTGTGCACGTGTGTGCGCGCGTGTCATGTGTGTGCCAAAGAGGATTCTGACTTTTCAGCAGAGAAAGCAGGTGGATAGAAGACAAGCTCGCTATAGGTAGTGCCTGACGCTTTCTCTGGTCCTTGGAGGCAAAACGCAGGGACCCTAGGCTGACTCCAGGATAACTGTCTGGGTACTTTACGCCTGAGCTTCGTTTGCGGGTAAAATAAACCTCATTATATAATTTCCTCAACAGGATTTTGAAGGATGTTTGTTCCGAGATCTCTCAAAGTCAAGAGGAACACTCAGGGTGACGGCAAAGGCTGTGCGGCCAAGAGAGCGAAACCAGAGGCAGAAGACGTCCGGTGGGATGAAGGCAGCGGCCACCCAGCGGAGGCCGTCGCTACGGAAGAAGCCGCAGCCCCCGGCAGCCCGCAGGTGGGACCCGAGCAGTGTGCCAAGGCCAGCCCTCTCTCGGAAGACCCCGTGAAGTCGTTTTCCAAAACGCAGCGCTGGCCAGAGCCCGGGGAACCTGTGTGCGTGGTCTGCGGCCGTTACGGAGAGTATATCTGTGACGAGACAGATGAAGACGTGTGCAGCCTGGAGTGCAAAGCGAAACACCTCCTGCAGGTGAAGGAAAAGGAAGGGAAGTCGGGGCTCGGCAGCCCGCAGGGAGCTGGCGCTCAGCCCCAGCCCCCACTGCACACGTCCTACGTCTATAAAGAGCACCCCTTTATCGAGGGCCTTCAGGAGGACCAGGTTGAGAATCTCAGGCGCCAGCTGGGAATTTCCGTCCAAGGGCGGGACGTCGCCAGGCCCATTATCGACTTTGAACATTGTGGTTTCCCTGAGGCCTTAAACCTCAACCTGAAGGCAGCCGGCTACGAGGTGCCGACCCCCATCCAGATGCAGATGACTCCCGTGGGGCTCCTGGGACGGGACGTCTTGGCCAGCGCTGACACCGGCTCCGGGAAGACGGCCGCCTTTCTCCTTCCCGTTATCACCCGGGCTTTACTGGAGGTGAGTTCAGGTTCACCCAGATCGTTCTCGGGAACAAGCGAGGTCATCACCAACTTCCCCACTCAGCTGTGTTCAAGCTGCCAACTGAACCTGAATATTTAGAATTGAGTCGTGTGTCTGAAAAAAAACACACTGTACTTTTAGGGAATTTCTCATATATTTAACCACTGAGCCACACGGCCAGGGCCAAATTGCCGGTGTCTTTAGATTTGTTTTCCGTCTTCGCAGAGCACGACGCCGGCTGCCCTCATTCTCACCCCCACGCGAGAGCTGGCCATTCAGATCGAGAGACAGACCAAAGAGCTGATGAAGGGCCTGCCCCGCATGAAGACCGTGCTGCTGGTGGGGGGCTTGCCCTTGCCCCCCCAGCTGTACCGCCTGCAACAGCACGTCAAGGTGAGCGCCGATTCCGTAGAATGCCTTTGGAGAGCAATATGGGCCTAGCGTTTCCTTCCTTGAGAAAGTTCTAGGTGGCCCTTAAGTTCTTGCCAAGTAAGTGCGATTTTTTTTTTTTTGAAGGTGGTTTTATGTGGAAAGGGAAGGAACGTGTGTATGGGTGGGTGTGTGTCGTACGTCAGGAGCTGTCGGACGGTCCCACAGCCATTATCTCATTTAATCATCACACCTGCTCTTGGAGCTGGGCTGGCTTATCTCATGTTTGATGGCTGAGAAGTCGACTCTCGGAGAGATGGGATTTGTCTCAGGGTCCAAAGCTGATATACGTGAGGGCGTGATTCCTACAGGCGGGGCCGCATCCTCGTATCCACCACCCAGAGGCAGAATCAGGCAGGTAACAGCAATACACCGTGTGCACGTGGGAGCTGGTTGCTGTCATCTCCTCCCCAGACCATTCGCGTCTGCGAACTGTGCTGTCAGATTTTATAGCCTGAGAGTCCAGGTCAGAATCATACGTTCACCCAGCGATTCCGCTTCTGGGAATGTATCCGAAGAGACCCAAAACACTGATTCGAAAGAACAGATACACCCCCCCCCCCCCCC